AGGTTTTTCCCGACATCCAGTTTGAACCTCTCTTGTTTCAGCTTATGCCCATTGCCTGCCATCATCCTACCAGGCACCTCTGTGAAAAGCCTGGCTCCATTTTTGTGATAATCTCCCTCCAACAGCTTTGGTCCCTCCCTGAAAGCTTTCTCATCTCTGGGCTGAACAAGCACTGGTCCCTCAGGATGCTCCAGCCCTGAGCTTCCCTGGAGGCTCTCCACTGAATTCCAGTATACTGATCTCTGTCTTCTGCTGAGGCTCAAAAAATGGATGTTGTATCTACCTGTGGCCTAATGAGTGCTGAGCGCAGGGGAGTAATCACTCCCTCAACGTACTGCCTTTGCTCTTGTTCATACAGCCCAGGGTGCTGTTGGTCCTCACTGCTGACAGGGCACACTGCTGGTTCCTGTGCAGCTTAAGCCAGGTTTTCTTCTGCAGAGCTGCCTCTTAACCAGTCAGTCCTCAGCATGTTTTGTTGCCAGGGGCTATTTCCTTGCACAAGTATATGGTAAGATAAATATTTTTAATATTATATGCTATATTTCATATTATGGTTAAGTTCAACATATTGTGAGACAGTATAATCTGTAAAATGGGAGTTGTTTTAGAAGCCTATATATTTTTTACCTGTCTTAAAGCATTAATGATTTTAATTTTTCAAAGAACATACTTTGACAATCCTATACAGTGAAACTATCAACTGAAATTCTGCATGGAATGTACTCCAGAAATTGAAGTTTTCATGTATTGCCACTTGGTAAAAGGATTCATGTAGTCTACAATTATTTTATGGCTTAATCAACACTAACTCATAAAATTTACAACTTTGTCAGCAACATGACAGGTTTTTTGTTTTTCTACTTGGAAATGATTCTGTAATTATTTTAATCATACCACCAAAAAGGAAAAAATTCCCCTGCCAGTTTTTTCCTAAGTGTTACTCCTGGTATTGTTTGCCTTCCAGATTCCTTCCCCTTCCATGGACATGGTTCTTTTATAGTAGAGCTGGAGATCTCGGAGTTTGGAGGAAACATCAACAAGGGGAAACCTAGTAGCAGCCTCCTTAGTGAAGTGTCGATATGCCAGTGTCTAAAAGTCTGTTTTAAGATCTATGTTTGTGATGGCAGATCCCCCCAAAAGAGCTTGGTTTGGCTCAAAGTCAGAAGATTTAGCAAAACACAGCTCTATGTATTATCCCATTGAAACCAAGGTATCCAATTTATTAAGCATAACTGATTCCAGACACTTCTGGAGTAAACAACACTTCTTGAGTTTAACCAGTAGCCTGTTAAACATCTTGCAGGGAGAACTGCATTCCAAATGCTAAAGGTGCTATACAACTTTTGCATACCAGTGCTATACGTCTTTTGCATACCAGGAGGGGTTTGAGTTTGGTACAGTGGATGAAAATGGAGACATCTTTCTAGTGAAGGGGATTGCTCATGACCACAGGAGCTGCAACACAAGTCTTTAGCTTAAAGAGACAGACCTACAATATATACTTGCAAGAATATAGAAAAACTGATGTATACCAAATATATTATGGCTAGATTTTTGTGTTTCACCCAGGAAGCCAGTGAAGGGTTAGGATTCCACCCTTTTTTTTAGTTTCTCTAGAGGAAGAAAAAGGAATGAATGATAGGGAACCAAAGATAGAAAATGTTTCCCTTTTGTACCCAAAACGCAGCAAATTTGCAAACAGAGAATTTTTTCTATCAATCTTTTCCAGCCCATTTCCACCTATTTTTTAAAAGTGATGAGAAGCAAGAAGCTGAGCATTTGTATTTGCAAATCTAGCATCTCAAAGCCACTGGTCAGATCAGGTTGCAAGTATATGAAAAGGAGTTCAGCATTCCCCCTCCCTAGCCACTGTGTTCTAAGTTTCAATTAAGAAGCTGAGATGAGAGCAATACAGTCAGGAGGGCAGAGCTCCTGGGTAGAATAGTGCCACAGTTCTTAATGACATTTTCAGGCAATGTATCTTTTGATGATTTGGTTTTTTAGTTTGCTCTTCTTTCTCCTACTTGATAATGATTCCATCTGTTATATAAACAAGACTAAACTCTTGTGAGGCTTGTGAGAAATCTTCCTGTAATAATGAAATAATGGTCCATCTGTCTTAGCAGAGTATGGCTTTAGATGCATAATCATTATTGCAAGAATTTAAACATCCTTTCCTTATTTTGGTTTCCCAAAGCACTGAACAACATGAGTACACAAATCAGGTTTCAAATATGTAATGCTTATCTGTTGCTTCAGATGGGAAGAGGATACAGAGACAGCTTCCTTCAGGTTTTGTATAAACAGCGGGATGCCTGGCTCAAATTTCCAAATAAGGCTAAGGACATTATATGCCTGGCTCCTCTTGGATTTCTGAATCTAGCTCTCTTAGGGTGCTTGGGCATTTCTCCTTTGAAATTACTTAGATTGTTCAGCCAAAGCAGTATATTCCTCCCCATTGCTGAATTTCTGATCTTGTAGAAAAGTGCCCTTTGTACTTCACTGTTTCTTCCACAAAGATAAATCAAACCTGTGCACACATGGGAAGACTCTTATTTAGGGACTTTTCTGTAGCTTATCTTCCACTGAAGGCAGTGAGGGATGTGAAAGTATAATAAAATTATGAATCTTGCAAAAGGTGTAAAGAGGAGCAAAAGGACTGATCAAAGATATACAACAGATTCCCCTGCAGAAGAACTCAGTATACTAGGATGCTTCAGTCCAGAAAGGAGATGACTGTGCACAAATATGATCCGCAAGATCAGAAGTGGCGGGGAGAGCGTGGGTGGGGATTGACTGCTGTCTGCCCATTCCTGCACAGGAATGCAATGTGCTCACTGCGCAGGAATTGGATCATCAAATGAAGCCTGTGGAGGCAAAACAAGCAAAAGGAAGTGGTGGTTCATGGTGACAGGTATTAGATGTCTGGAACTTGTTGCCAAAGGAAGTGGTCAGGGTTAAAAGTCTACAAGGTTTTAAAAGAAAACTGGACAAATTTGCAAAAGATAAGTCCATTGAAGATTAATAAATGAACAAAAACTTCATGCAGATCAGAACGTCCTTGAGCTGAAAACATTTGGAAGCTGGAAGTTATTAGGAGAGAGCATTGTGTATGCATGCCCTATTCTTACTTTTCTTTCCACATCTGCTTAAAGGCAGTGTTGATGAGAAGAGGGCTCAGCTAGATGGACTTTTGGCCTCAGCCAGTATTCCGACCAGTTGGTTGGTTTTTTTCCCCAGACTGATGGCAAAAAGTAGTTTCTACAGGAACCTGTTCCTGTAAATACCAGAGGTATAGACAGTGGTTGCCAAATATGGTAGATGATACAGGGTGACACACATGGCACATTCTCAGTCGCTGAGCACTGTAGTACCATGAGTGAGGCATCTGTCGGGAAAGCAGCGGAATAGGAGCTAAAATCCACCACATGTGTAAGGTGCATCCACGAACATGACTGGCAGGACCTAACCTTCTCCAGAGGCAGTGTCTTCTCATGCTGCAGAGCCATTATTACTGTGTAAGTCCTGGTCTGGAGACAAAATAATATCATACAATGCATTGCTCTTGAATAGTCACTGAGACCTCTTGTATGACAGTTTTTACATGAAATCCTCTTCCAGAACATTTCTGGTGGAGTTACACATTGCAGCAAAGGATATTGCCTGACTAGAAAAAGAGGAAAGCTAAACCAGGTTTTGAAATGAGAAATGAAGAACTGGAGAGATCTGGGAATCTGCCCAAGGTGACTAGACTCAGGAGAAGAAAGCAGTACAGTTTGCCCTAGTGGGGAAACCAAGACAGTCCATTGTAGTTAAAGGGAGGGAACAAGAATACATTTAAAGTAAGGTATGGTGTGCTAAGTATGTGGCATATAAAATAGCTACAGAGACAGAGTTGTACAGTTCAACGCTACTGGCTCAAGAAGGATAAAATAATATCTTTAACCTGAACATCTAGGTCACTGGACAAATGCTGCTTTTAAATTCTTGCAGGAGATATATATGTTTTCTCTGAATCACAGAGGGCTGTTTTCAGACCTTTGCTGTAATAATTCACTGTTGAAGATGCTAACACTCTAGGATCTATGAAAAACATAAGTAAATATAAAAATCATCTAGTATTCAAATGGGTCTACATATGTATCTGTTATGATCATATATTGAGGGCTTCTTCAAAGACATGTCATTATGTAGTTCTTCTAATTTGTCATCATTAAAGAAGCCTATATGTTCTGGTGAAAGATTCCTGGACAAAGAATTCCCACATGTTACATCACATTGAGAGGGAGAGATTTACAAGCTATTTAACTGTTCTCTTATTGCAAAAAGACAATGTTAACCTCATTAAGCAACGGAAAAAAAACCAATCTTATTTATGCTTCATCAGTTAATAAATCACAGTATCTTTCACTTTGTAGGATGCTTTTGACGGAAGATCTCAATGTCAAAACAGTTCCTTCTTTAGCCTCATAATTTTAGTCAGATGAATGGTACAAATTTTCCAAATCTAGTACTACACAGCATTCGAGTGTGTGGAACATTTTGTATGTTTATAGCTATTCTCTTCCCTTTAGTGCTACAACATTTCTTACAATTTCAAACATTTTCTTTAGGAATTTGTTTAGGATATTTAGTTTTCAGAGGTTAAATGAACTGATAAGATGGATCTGATGTAGCTCTTTATAATCTGAGGCCCTTAAAGAATAGTCTTGTCTATGTTTACATAAGTTTCTGTTGAGATCTTACTGCAAACTTCCACATATATTTTATTGTGATTTTACGTGATTGGATTGTCATGAATTAGAATTTACCTTTGCCTTCTTAGCAATTGGGTTCCCAGGTGTTCTCTGAGGCTTCTTGAAAGAAGCCATAAATGCTTTGTGTAGAAATTAAAGACAAACTGCTAAGAATAAAAATAGGTTTTAATCAAAGAATAAAAATCTGTGAAGATAAAGCTGAAGGAAATGCATTTTAATATGACATTAAAAATAAAAAAACTGTTGCATTATACAAAGTTGAGTTATTAGCAAAAGAAATCTGTAACAAATAATGATTAAAAGTTTTATTGCTAGAATTCACACTTTCTTTTTTTTTTTCTCTTACTTTCTAAAGGTGGTAAATCATATTTCAATAGGCAGATTCTGATCTGAACTAATGATCAGATTTCCATGCAGCAACTTTGAATTTATCCTGTTACAAAGATCAGAATCTGGCCCCAAGAGTCTATTAAATTTAAGTACAGCAATGAATTTGACACCAATAAAAAGTGGGAAAAAAATGTTATCTACTGTAATTCCTATAACTGGGCAATATCTTGCTGTGCTATTACTCATCATGCTAGATTAAGACAGTATATTCTCTTGGCTGTGCTGTTAAATTGAAAAAGCGATATTAATTGAAAATTCAAGACCTCTGAGAAGGGAACAAATCTGTTAGAATCATTGTATGAGTATGTCATTACCATTCACATTTTTTCTCTTTGCAGTTTGCTATTCCACAAGACACTCCTGAACTTGCTGCTTTTTTATATAATTCCACAATTTCTCATTACATAAGGAGAAGGGATGTCACAGTGGCAGAACCTCACAGGAAAAACTCTGCAAAAATATTGGTGAGCTAACTAGAAACTATAAACTGGGACTGTATATATCAAGGTGGCTGTTGGTTTGACTGCAATTTATTTACAGACTTTTAAATCTTTTTCTAAGTGATTTCTAAACTCTCAGTTTCAAATGTTGTTTATTACATATCACCACGCCACAGTTAGCGATTTGGTTTGATAGATTTTTACATTAAAGATCATGCATGCCAAATTCCTGGCTGTCTTACTCCTGGCTGATTGCAGACAAATCTCTGTGGTCATGCAATGGCACACTTATCACATGGAATTTCAGCACAGATTTAGAGAATGGGTCTCTCTTCCTCTGAAATTAAATTTCAGATTCTGACTTCTGAAAGGTAGGTCTCTTCTTGTTAACTTTACTCCTAGCATTCTGTCTCTTTTTTAAAGAGTAGCTCACACTTAAAATTAACATTTTCATGTAAAGTGACAGTTCTGACATACAAATACTTTGGAGTATATTTGTTCCCCCTAGTAAGTACTTACATACACATGGAAAGGCAA